CCTCAGAGAGCTCCTAACTGGGCCCTAATTGCGTTTGCTGGACATTGATTACCAGCGTAACTTCCTGTCTTAAGAGGCATGTGCTCTCCTTAGTGAAAGCAGCCAAAATTCAGGCCAAAAAGGGAAAGAGAAAGCTCTGGGTCTAAAGGCGCCTCTGCACCTGCTATAGAGGCCTGGCTTGCCCGGGTGTGGACAGTGGTGTTTCTTCTCTCCTTTAAATGGCTCCTGAGGAGCAGGTGACTGGCTAACCCGGTACTTGGTTGGCAAAGGTGTGACCCTCGGGACCAGAGGCTGAGTATATTTTTTCTGAGGGCGGCTCTCAGGTCCTCCTCAAAAATAGCAAATTTCCTCTCAGAGGGCCTGACCCAGAGGTCACGTCTTTCCAACTGGCTCGGAAACATCTGTCTTCTCCAAGCAAGTTCAATTTTAATTTGCTCCATGTCATCGTTTCCCTTGGATCTGCAATTAAGGGGCACTCGGTTACTAAAATGATAAAATCAACTTCCCAGGCATGTGACGGAGGACTGTCCTCTGGGTTTTGGATGAGCCGGGAGCCAAACCTCTGCTGCTTCTGCCCCAGTCCGCACAGTCTCGGAGGACACGGGACTCAGCCGGAGACAGAGATGCCCCCCAAGTCGCTCCCCCAAGCCAGTAGCCTGGGCAGGCACTTCTGCAGATCAGGCCCTGCTACAGGTGCCCGTAAACTAGGAAAAGCAGTTAGGGGAGTCCCCCAGTTCAACAGGGAGTGCATTCAACCAAGTGTCTGGCATGAATCCAGTGGGACACCACTGTCCTTTTGAGTGGGACGATTCTTTTTTCGGTAGACTGTCTAAAAAGAAATCTGGGGAAGCAGGCTACCTAAGCCTGCTTAGGTAATCTGTGCCAGAGAAAACCAGGGAGGCAAAGCTGACGGTTCAGACCCTAGTGCACCTAGGAGCAGCCCAGAACTTCAGCGCGAAGCCAGAACCACCAAGTGGAGCCTCCGGGGCACGCCCAGGGCTGGGGAGTCCGAACTTGCTCTGCTCAGATCCTGGCCTCGTGGGAAGCGGGAAGGGGAAATGCAGGGCTGGAGCAGAGAGAGCGGCTACCTGTAAGGTCACTGCTAGGCCACTGTCCCTTGGGCTACAGTGGCTTGAGTAGAACCTCAGTGCTGGCGCAGTCTGCAGAGGTAGGGAGTTTCATTCAGTGGAGAGAAGTACTGGGGAAGAATTAACATGAAGTGGGCCCTGGAAAGGAAGGCTTATGTTCTTTGCCAGCATCTGTCTTCAAAACTGAAAACTCTGTCCGAAACCTCAAGGTCCTAATGTCCTCGTAGGAGCCAGGGTTGTCATCGCACCTCGTGTTTTGCAGAGTCTACTCTCATCATTCTGGGTGAGTGGATTTCTCCTTGGGCGGGACTGCAGGACACTGCAGTTCCTGGCCTCCACGGACGCTGTGTCACCACACCCTCTGACACACACACACACACACACACACACACACACACACACACGCGCGCGTCTCCCCGTCTTCCCAGGGGACGGGGGGCGGAGCGCAGTCAGGACTCCAGGATCACCCAGCCTCTCAGCCTCCAGGGAGGCTGCTGGTGTCTTAGACGTTGGGTTTACACTCAGGAACCTGAGGCAGAGTCTGGGGGCCTCCTCGGACCCTCAGATTTTGCCCTGCCAAAGCTGGCGGGTCCCCAAGGGTAGGTTTTCAGGATAAGGCCACCGGCATGGGCTAGGAGGAAACCATGCCTTCAACATTTCCACCTCACATCTATGAGGTCCTTGGAGGCACAAATAGAGGCTTTTTTTCAAATCTCCTTCCCCAGGGAGGGCCTGATGAATACCATATTATAGCCTTGGGGAGGTTGGAGGGATGCTCCTGAATAAAATCCCACTTCACATCACAGTGGTCTGACCTTGCCCCTGCCCGGGAATGGAAGGGAAAGGGCAAGGAAGAGGAAGAAAAGAAAATTATTTACTGCTCCCTTACTATCTGCCAGAACTAAAAATCACTAAATAAAAAATGGCTCCTGCCCTTGAACCCTTGAACCCTTGAAAAGAAGCTCGCAGTCCGCGGGGAACACACTGTCAAGTGTACAGAGAGCCGTTTCCACATGGCTCTGTGCCAAGAGTTTAATGGAAGTGTGAGCAATGCCCCCTGGAAGCCTGAGCATGGAGTCCGAGGAGGCTCACAGCGGGGAGGAATCGGGCAAAGACGGAAGGACCAACCCTCAGATACGAGAAGGGGTGTCCCTCTCCAGAAACAGAGAACCAACTGTGCAGACACACGGGAGCTCCTGAATCTCAGTGTGAAACTGAAGAGAAACACAGACTGCCCCACTCCCCAATCTGCAGGACTGAAGTTCTCCAGAAACCTCACGGCCCCTTCTGGAAATGTTCCGGAACCAAGAAGGCCCATCCTTAGGCCAGGCGGTTGCTCACACGGTATGAGTGGGAGATCTGCACAAAACCCAGGTCCTTGTTTCTGAAACTCACATTTTTATCAATAGGTTCATACCTGTCTTACTATTTGCCCTTCCTGAGATATTTGCCTTTCAAACCAAAGCACAAGTCACTCACACTATAGCATGAATTAGTATCATCAGCTATTGGTCCAGGACACCAAGGGAGAGAAGAGGGACTTAAGGACTGCCATAGAGGACACCAAAAGGATAAAGAGAGTACGGCGAAGCCTTAAAAAACAGAGATAAAGAAGACAAAATACCCGTACATCACACCATGGGTGCTTTGACAGAAAGGGCAGCGAAGGGGGCAGGAGCTGGCACGTGGGTCTGGAATGCAGAGTGAGGAGGGAGCTGCTACTGCGTTCGATTTCTGTTTCTTGCTTTGCAGCCAGGCCACATTATTGCCATGGCAATTCCCTCATCATCTAGTCCTGCCTTGCATCGCACTGACAAGTGCCACCTGGAGAACGAAGGCTCCACATGGCCTCCCTGCATTCGGAAGCTGCGAGGTCCTGCCGCAGACAGAGAAATCTGTCCTTTTTTCATGGAAGAAACCTCAGGCGGCTCCCCTGTCCCACAGCTGAGCTGGGCGTCTCCCTCTGAGGCACCACTGATCCCATTCCAGGACAAAGCGACTCTGAGAATGTCATCTTCCAGAGTCACTCAGCTCCAGAGCCTGACTCCCATCATTCCATGGCGATGCCTGACTCCCAGCAGGACCGGAAGTACCAGACCATAGGGTTGGTGAGGGCAGAGGAAAGAGTTTCAGTTTCCTTTGGCTGGTCAGGATCCCTGGAAGAGGACCTACCAGATTCCAGAGGCCTCGGGTGATCTGCCGCTCCAGAAGGAGCCCTGCCTGCCCCTGTCTGCAGGGGCAGCCCCCTCCTGTCTACGGATAACTGTGGCCTGCAGCTCCAGGGTTGGGTCTCTGGACCCGAACAAGAGCCCCGGCCCTGAGAGAGGAAAACTAGGACTTCGTTTTTGGCACCTTTTCTCTCCCCCAGCCTTGGCTTCCAATCCGCCCGCCTGTCCCATGCCCACAGCTGCTGCCTTCACTTGGACTCCAGCCTATCCTGCCTGTCTCTCCTCCTCCTCCTCTTCCTCCTCCTCCTCCTCTCCCCATCAAGGCTTCCTGCCTCCACTCTCAACCCCCTTCCAACCCATTTTCCATGCTGTACCCAGAAGATACATCTAAAGTAAATCTGCTCAGATAATTTTCTTCTTAAACCCCTCATGTTTAAGATGTGCCCAATTATGATCTTCCTCCCTGTCCCCCTTCCTCCCTGACCCCCTCACTTGCTGCCACCCTCCCTTGCCTCATCTCCACACACCAACTCCTTGCATATTCCCAATTCCCACACTCTCACTCTCTGCTGCTGCATCTGCCTAGAAACTTCTACCTGCTTGAGATTAATTCTCCAGGAGTCACCTCCTCCAGGAAGACCTCCTGACACTCCAGGAAGGGGTTAGGTGCCGTCCCCTCTACCTCCTCTCCCCTCCACCACGCGCTCTGATAATAACCGCTCCAAGTTGTGTTGCAATCGCCCATGTGCAGCTGGGCACATCCTCAGCACCGGGCCGTGTGTGCCCACAGAAGAGCGTCAGCTGGCGTGACACCGCAGCCAGGACCGCAGCCCATACCCTCAGCTCCCCACACCTACGGCTCAGAGAACGCAGTTCACTGGGTAAAAGAAAAATGCCCACATTAAATAGCACTGCTTGCCGCTGAAAACTGTGTGCAGAGGGAAAGCAAACAAGTGATTAAGTAATGGCAGGCAAGTGTTTCGCTGAGAGTCCTATCCAAATAAAATAACAGGAAAAGTGCCTTTCAGTTCTGATTAACCGCAGTTGAGAATTAAAGATCATTTGTAACAAATCATTACAGTCCACTGATTAAAAATGAATGAGTTTGAACAGAGAACCATTACTGAATCTGGGGCTAGAAAAATAAGAGTTAAAGCCCATTAACATGAGACTCCCACGCCATGTGCGTCTGCCTGAGGCCGATGAATCATTCCCAGCAAAGGGACACCCAACGTCAGAAACAGCTCGGAACTACGTTCCAGTTCAGCTTGGGGTCCAGCCCCATGTCTGCTCTGGCAGGTTGCTCAGGTTTCTCTAGAGTCTCATTTCTGTCACTGAGAAAATAATAATGGAGATAATAGCGTTGCCGATGTGAGATTGAAACATACGAAATTGCCAACATTTGACAATACTGGACCTGCAAAAGTGGCAATTTCATATGGTTCAATGTGATATTTAGCCAAGAAGGTGACTGCTGGGAACAAAAGGAGGGGATGGTTGTAAAACTGGAAGACGTGGTAGGAATGCAAGACCCAGCACCAGAGCAAAACTGCACCAACCGGCAGCCACACCGCGCTCAGCTTGGGGCAAATCCCAGGAGCCAAGACCTTCCCTCTGCTGCATGAATCAATGTTAGGTTGGAGGAAGGGGAAAGAGAAAGACAAAAAGAAGTCAAGAATCCCTTCAACTCCCAAGCCAGGCCCTCCCTGTCTCCGCCCTGCCTCTCTCCAGGCCCCTGCCACACCCCGGCTGGTGTCTGATGTGCGAGCACAGGCTTGACTTCACCGTAAGGGTCCAGTGGGCTCATTCGGAGGCAGGCACTGTCTGGTAAGAGACACACCGAGTCCGTCTCTGGTTCTGGCGGGTCAGCCCCCAATATGGCCTCTTGTTGCCTTTGCTCTGAGGAACCCTCTGAATCTGAGCCACTGGTGCGGAATGAGTTAATAAACAAACGTTTGGATTAGTAAATGGGTGACTCAATGAATAAGCTGACTCCGCTGGCTGGCGGAGGGCCTGTTGCCTGTCCTCTCGCCATGTGACAGGGAACTAACAGAGGATAAAGTCGTTCTGCTCCCACACCCCGAACCCACGGAAAACACTGAGCTCGTCTGATGCGAACAATGACAAGCGGCTTCTTCGTAACTACAGAATTCTTGTAATGAGAAAGCTTGTTTTTATTTTTAAAATAACTTTTGCATGACATCAGTCCGAACCCTTTACTTACCAAATAACAACACATCTTAACCATGCGTATGTAACACACATACACAGTTTTTTAACTGTCCTTTTCCTATCTGCATTCATTAAAGACCTTACTCAGATTTAACCTATCCCATCAAATTCTTTTCAATGCTCTCACACAGGCAAAACGTGCCCTCTCTACACCTTGCTGATGCACGCAGGGGTGACCAGCCTGCCACCCAGGATGGCTATGAACTCTGCCCAACACGAAATTGTAAATCTACTTAAAATATTGTGAGATTTTTTTATTATGTGTCACAATGTATTTAATGTGTGACCCAAGACAACTTTTCTTCTTCTGGTGTGGCCCAGAGACGCCAAGCGGATGGACACCCCAATCTGAAGAATGGATATACGCGTATTCCTAGTTTGGCCCCCGCATGTGGCTTTGGCCTGGGACTGGGGGGGCGGAACTGAGGGCCGCCTGCATGGCATGACAACGTGCTCAGTCACACAGGGCTCACAAGAGACCCTTGCTCATGCTTGGTTTCCTGCTTTGTGGTTGCCACCCTGAAATTCTTAAAAATGTTTGGACAAAGGGCCCCGTGGAGGGAAAGGAAACCGTGAGTAAACTGGAGGCAGCAAGAGCAATGATATAACCCGGGTTTAGAGGGTCCAGGGGAGAGTCAACGGAGCGGCCAAGCCGGCCAGCAGTGGATGGGGGTGGGGGCCATTGAAAAAGCTGGAGGGCCGAGTTGGGGAGCGGCTGCAGAGGAGAAATAAGGTTAGAGAAGGGAGGTTCACTGAGGAATCCTCCGAGGCTAGAACTGTCAGAGTCTGGCTATGGCGGGGGGTGCAGAGAGACCCCATCTAACGTGAAGGCAAGAAGTGAGTCCCCCAATTTGGGAAGAAGACTGTATCTTCTAGGACCTGCAAGCAGCCAGAGAGTAAAACCAGGAAGTGGAAGAAGCTGACCATTGTGGCAATAAGACAAGATTGGATCACATCATTTGTTGGCTTATTCATTCCCTCAGAAAAACTTTTACTGAGAATCTAATGTGCATACACTGAGTTAGTTTCTGAGCTATTTCAAAGATGATAAGAATTCAGACCCTGCTCTGGGAAACTCCTGATCTACACAGAAGAGAAAGACGTGAATGACAATGCAATGTGATTAACGTAATAACAAAGGTTGCTGTTTCCCTTTGTGGAGTGGGGCCAGGGGATGAGCAAGGCTGGGAAAGGTCTTGTGAGATGTGTTAAGAATAGATCTTCAGGGGTCCGTGGGAGACCAGCAAACAATAATAATAAGAGCGTTTGGACAAAGGGACACAGCAGGAGTAAATACAGGGGACCGAGAAACATTTGGACACTCCTGAGAAGTTCAATCCAGCCAAAGCGGAGCACCGAAGACAGTGGGTAGCAGGACTGAGCGATGAAGAGGGCAGCGGAATCCTAGTTGTGAGAAGCCTGAGTTTTTCTGCGGGCTGATTGGGAGAGCCTTTGAAGTTTCTTAAGCAGAGCCGATCAGAGCGGAGTGGCTCTCACTCCAGAGATCAGGGTGGAGAAGACCAGAGTGGGGGAGATATCTTTGCCACAGCGCACAGATGGATTCTGGAGAAGAGTGCCGGGACGGGCAGGCCAGTGAGGGAATCGCTGACAGAGTGCAGCAAGACCAGTGGGCCCAAACTCGGGTAAGAGCAGAGTAAACGGAGAGTGGGGAAGAGAGTAGAGATTTATCTTAAAGGTAGAATGGATTGTAGTTGACTCCTTAGACATGATAAGCAGGGAGAAACAATTAAGCATCCCTGGGTTTCTGATTTAGACATTTGGGTGCACAACACTGTCATTAACCATGATGGAGAATAAAGGAATAGGAAGGTAAGAGGAGTTGAATTGTGGACATGTTAAGTTCAAGGGAGCACTAAACATGTCCGGGGGTGGTCTGTGCCAGAAATGCGGAAGTGTAAGAATATAGGTACTTCCTGAAGTAGACATCCACGGATTGAATTCCCTACAGTGGACCTGCAGAGAGAGATGCTCTAAAAGGCACTGGAATTTAGGGAGTGGATGAGCGCGACCCAGTGAGACAGGCTAAGAACAGGCTATTGGAAATGTGGAAAGAAATCTACACTAACACTTGTTAGTGTGTAGATTTTGATATTATTTCCTATTACTTGCTGTCTTTCCTGGAAGGTCATTGCATGTCCATGTCCCTGCTCACTGAAAGTGGGAGGAGTCAATTCTTCAATTTTCTGGTATCAGCCTTGGGCTATGTGACTTGCTTTGGCCAATGGGATATGAGAGAAGGTGATGTATTGGGTTGGCCAAAAAGTTCATTTGTTTTTTTTCCTGTACGATAGCTCCAATAGCGCTTACTGGTCCGTAACTGCGTTCAAAACAAATTTGCTAGGTTCTATTGTGACAGCAGCCCTATCCGTGTGCATTTTAAAAAGCTTCTCAAAATGGATTCATTTTTGTGCAGCCATTTTAATATTGAAGATGAAAGAATTCATGCAACATTTTCAGCATATTGTGCTTTACTATTCTGAGAAAGGTAAAAATGCAGCTGAAATGCAAAAAAAAAGATTTGTGCAGTGTGTGGAGAAGGTGCTATGACTGACCGAATGTGTCAAAAGTGGTTTGTGAAGTTTCTTGGTACTATTGACATTTTAGCCAATAATTCTTTGCTGTGGGGCTGTCTTACGCACTGGAAGATGTTTAGCAGCACCCCTGGCCTCTACCCACTCGAGGCCAATAATGGAAGGTAGCCAACATACTCAAAATATCCAAATCAATAAAGTTATTGGTAAAAATAAAAAATGTGTCTTTTATTTTATGGAAAAAACCAGATGAACTTTTTGGCCAACCCAATACGCACACACAGAAGTCTTAGGAGTCCCCACAGGTCCTTGGGATCCCAGGGGAAGGACATCTGAGGAGCGGAGGGATGTGAGCAGAAGGAAAACCTTTATTATAAAGCCCCTGAGGTCTGGGGACTGTGATTTCTGCGCGACAGAGCCAACGCTGACCACTACAGCTGGAAAACAACAGCATCTCAGACGTGAAGGAAACACTGCAAGAAAAACTGAGTGGTCAGCAGGGTCAAAAGGGATGGAGAGGCAACCAGATGTAGCAACAGGGAGGTTATTGGTGATCTTGAATGCAACCGAGTCTCTGTGGTGGGGTGGAAGCGGGTCCAGACTGCTGCAGACTGAGGCATGGATAGGAGGTGAGGAGGTGGAGGTGGTGAGTGGAGATCACTCATCTAATGGTGTTGACTGAAGAGGAGGAAAGAGAGACAGAGAGGGAGAAACAGCTTAAGGTAGAGAGTGAGTAGGAGGGAAGTTTTATTTAGACTAGAACAGACTTGAAACTGTTTGCAGACTGAGAAGGAAGATTTGATGAAAATAGGGAGATTGAAGATGTAAGTACCGAGGCTATATGCCTGAAAATACGTGTCTGTGATTTCTTCATAATATTAAAAATCCTAACAGCAAACACTTACAGTGCTCACTAAGTTCCCACACAGCGTGGTGGCTCTGCATGTATTATTTTCATCTTCGAAGCAACTCTGTGAGGCAGGCACTGTTATCATCATCATTTCTATTACATAAGCAAGTAAACTGAGGCACAGAGGGTTTGATGAACTCATCCGAGGTCACACAGCTAATAAAGGGCAGAGCAGGGCCTCCAACTAAGGCTGTCCAGCTCCCGGTGCGGGCAGGTCCTGGACCACCACACCACACTGTGTCTCGGGAAGGCACAGAATGATTCCGAGCTAGAAGCACAGCTCAGAAAGATGGTCTCCAGAGGGTCATGGGCATCATGAATGAGGGATGTGAATCAGGAGTGAAAAGGGAGAAGCCAGAGCAAACCCTGGGATCTTGGAAAGTGGCATTGGAATGTTATGAGCACTGAGCCTTCTGTGTTTGGGGTCCCGGCCTGGTTTCCCACAGTCCCCCTCAGCCTGTTAGATCACCTGGGATTGGGGGGTGGTGAGGAAAGATGAAAAGGAGGAAGAGGAGAGGGAAAACATTAGATAAAAAGGAGGGCCAAGAACCAAAGGGTGGGGAGGGGGAGGAAGCCAAGCTCACTTTGAGGTACACTTAACACTCACTAGAGGCCAAGCTCTGTGCTGGGTGGGAGCTTAGGGGGGAAGACCCTGAGGATCCCCCAGGATAATGGGAAGATGGATATAAGAGGCAACTTTGACCCTGGGGTAAAATTAAATGGGACGCGTGCAAAACACCAAGGAAAGGATGTCCCCCCCCTTTCACTGTCTCTCTGTGAAGATTAGGTCACGGCTCACGGAATGTGGAACTCCCTCCAATCTGACTAAAGCCAGCAAGGCCACGAGGGCAGGGATGCTATTCAACAATCAAAGCTGGACCAATTTAAAGTGATAGGACACATCTCAGTACCCAAACTCAGAGTGCCTTTTAGGAAACCTTTCACAGTGTGAGTGGCCTTTCATCACCACTGAGTCTGCAGGATGCGTTGTGAGTTGTCAGGTCGCCCCCGTCCCCTCAGTGCATGGCGGATGCTCTGAACTGGGGAGGAGTTCTCTGGACTCTTGGGAAGTCGGCAGACGTCCCTGTTTTGTAGGTAAAGCTATGAATGCACTGGGAAGCAAGTGAGTTGCCAATGTGGCAGCGGGGGCAGGTGGGCAGTGGCTCGCCCTCACCTCCCGCTGGCCAGTTTAC